AAATGTATTGTACAAAAAATATAATTATGCCACTAATCTAACGGCTAGTTTGCATGTAACAATTATATATATTATATTCCCCAAGTCAATAAATCACGTATTGATGTACATATTACACATCATAATTCAATTAAGTACATATCATATATATATATACAAGAATTAGAGAAAATCATTTAAAAAAAATGTGCTAATAATCAAATTCTAAACTTGATTTACAAATTGGCACTTGCATATAACCAAATTGAATTATTAAAATTCACCCAACTAATATTTAATTTGCTTTAATTAGCCTCGTAATTTATGAAAATAATAAATAAACATGTTACATGTTTAAAACATGCATTTTATCTCGTGCGTGTGAGTGTATGTGCCCTCCAAACAAGGGATAAGACCCTCCATACCACGAACTTTCCCGTATAGATACATATATACTTTATTTTAATAATAATTTATTTTATACCAAAGTTATATTTAGTTGTATATCTAATCAATGAGCGCATATGGTGACGGCCGCCCACATGGGCTTTCCAGGCTGGTTTTATGGGTTGCGAGGTTGTAAATATAGTAATGTATAAATTATATTATATGGTCATTTATTTGCCTAATTCTAATTATTATATACTTATTTACATTTATGAAATGCTAATTCCTAAGTTTTGGACCGACCAAATTCACTAAGAAGGAGCACGTAACCTTGTTGTGTGACGAGTTTCCCATCAATTTTTTTGGTTATTACTTGTTATGGAATAATTATTTTAAAATTGTAATTTTTGGAAAATCATATTCAATATACACATATATATATTAACAAATATAACATTGAAATTATTATATTTTTATATGAAATAAATATTTTGTGACGTATAAAGTTTTATTGGTTAGTATATAATATAAAATTAATTAATTGGGTAAATTTGTAAATGACAAAATAATAATACTAATAAATATAAATAATGAGGGTATAATATATAAAGGCAGACAAAATCTCTTGTTAGGTTGGCAAATGTATATATACATATATATATATATATACATGTATATAATTTATGGGGTCCCCTTTTGTTGATTCTGTGGGGAGAATTTGCTAGTGCGGTTTTTTATATCATTATGCTTTCTACCTCACATGTCCTTTTGATATATCATTGAATATAGTTTATGTGGGTTATATTATATAATAAATATTTATATGTTATTTGAATATAAAAAACCTAATGTTTTATAAAATCAAATATATTGGGTTTTATTATAATATTAATGAAATTAAAAAAATAAAAATAAAGAGGAATTTGATGGGTTTTTTTCAATAATTTAATTAAATAATAAATTAATATTTTAAAGTCACTTTTTAAAAAATAAAAATAAACGTTGTTAGAAATCATAAATTCTTATATTATATATTAATTATAGTATGCAAGTAGGTAATATACGAATTAAGTTATGTACAAATTGTATTATTATATTTTATTAAATTTAAAATACGATTCAAACCCAAACTACCATGACAAAAATTCGCATTCAAACAATCTTAAATTTGTCACATAATTCAAACAATGTTTAATATTTTCATATAATAATCTAATTAAATTTCATATATTATAATGTTTAAACAATGATTCATAACGTAAATTGATGCCCCACTTTTTAATTAATTAGTGTTTTAAATATTAATTAGCGGTCCAAAAAGTCATCAACAATTTTTATGTTCGATTCTTAATGGGCTAAACTCATACGATCAAATATAGTAGTTTAGCCGTTATAATATTTGTGTTTTATTTAAAAGTCAAAAGTTCGAATCTCAATAAAAATATATAGTTAGTCATTGTATAATATATTATAACATATAATTTTATAAATAAAAAAATTAAATTATAACATACTTGTTTAAAAATAAATATATTTATATTTTGCTTAGAGTTACGAGTTCAAATCTCATTAAAAATACGAAATTCGTCACTCTGTGAACGTATCATGAACTTTTGGTAGTCGACTTATAATATTTGATTAAGTGAACCGAGAATTTAACTTATTAATGTGTTTGTAGAGTTGTAAATTCAACGGTTCTGTTATGTTTTGAGTGAAAAGAACATTCGGTGATGATTAAATTCTCGTAGCTTGAATATCGACAATAAATTTTAGTCGGAAATTTTTTTTAATATAAAAATGGGCTTAGTTATAGGCCCAAAATTTTAATTTTTTTTTAAATTTATTTTTGTAAATAAAAATTAAGAGGGGTTGGGTTGGAAATTTGGATTTAAATTAAAAAAAAAAATATATATATATATATATATATATGTATAATTGTATAAGGAGTAATTAGGAAGGCACGTTTTGGGTCCCACAGAGAAAAACGACGTGGCCGCAACACAAGCCAGTTATGACGGTGAAAAGTGAAAATGGGTTTTCCTCCCGTGTGATCACTCACTCCCTTTGAATTTATCAACTTGTTTACCCAATCACCGTTCGCGTCATCGCCCTTGTTTTAGGTAAGAATTGATAGTGACATAATATATTTAAATTTTAATAATTTAATATATAAAAATAATCGTAATAAATATTAAATGTAGAATTTTTTCAGTCATGAAATTTGTGTTTTTTTATATTTTCGTAATTAAATTTATTTACGAAATTCAGGTGATCAAAGTTGCGAGAGGTCAACGATCGGGAAACGTGGGTCCTATCGTGATTGCAGCGTGCGAGCGAAAAGCACACAATGTTTTCCCAATTCAAAATGCCTCACATGGAAAGAACGCAACGGATCTCTTCCTTTTTATCTTTTTCACATTCAAGTATTTTATTTCCTATTTTAGCCCCAAAATAATTCAAATTTCCCATTATACCCCCAAAAGAGAAGACGCATTTCCAAATATACCCCTAAAATCCACATATTTACCATTTGATCCCTACAGAGTTCCGCCCCTTTTGAATTGAATCGATCTCCCTGCAAAAAAAAAAAAAAAAAAAATCCATTTTATTACGTTTCTAAAAGACAGCTTCTACTCAGCTGTCCGGCGTGTCCGGTCGTCTTCTTCTTCTTCTTCATTCCTTCTCTACGCGTTTATCTCTTACTTAAAAGCTTCGACTTTTACTCTCAGATAACAAAAGTATCGGAACCCAGAAGTTCTGAAGAAGAGAAGACATGGATTTGAACTTCAATTTCGTCTTCAAGATCTTAATCGTGTTTACTGTACTTCCATTCGCGATCTCTCAAACCGAGGCTCCGCCGCCGGCAGCCGATGCCTGCAACGGCGTCTTCGTGACTTACGCTTTCGAGGAAGGATCCAAGATCCCGCCCAGTGACCCTGCAAACCAGGCTTTCCGTTTCGAGTCGACGCTGACGGTGCTCAACAACGGCCGGGACGAGCTGAAATCATGGCGGGTCTTTGTTGGGTTTGCGCATGATGAGTTTTTGGTATCTGCATCGAATGCGGTTCTCGCTGATGGGACTAGTCTTCCGGCGAGTGTGGGAAACGGGACAGTTTTTGCTGGGTTCCCGATGACTGACTTGAAGACGGCGATTGAGACCGCGGGAGATCTTACTCAGATGCAGGTGCAGGTTAAGCTTGTGGGGACTCAGTTTGGAGTGAAACCACCGGCTGCGCCGTTGCCTTCGAATATTACACTTGCTAATGATGGATTTGTTTGCCCTAGGGCTACTAAGCAAGGTACAGTTTGTTCTCTGCTTTTGGTAGACTGATTGAATCTCCTTGTTTTCTGATACGGGTATCTTGATTTTAATCACTGTTTATTTTAGTTTCAAGGGGTTACTGGAGAGTTTGCTTTATGGGTTTTAGTTTTAATTTTTTTTTCTATGCTTATTAAAATGAATTGATTTCCTAGGTTTTGGAGGAAGAGAGAAATAACAGAGATGAAGGCATGGTGAAATTTAACAATTTGTTTTAGCAGAAGGGGTTTTTAGGTTATTCCTTCTGATTGAAAAGTAGAAGAAATCTCAAACATTTAAGGAGTATCTCATAATCTGATGCTCCTCTTTTTGCAGGGTTTAGTCTTTATGGTTGGAAATCTCACAGGGAATAGTTTAGTGTTTATGGTTTATGGCTATGCTTGTGGGTCATAAAGAGGAGTTTAGTACAGAAAAACATTTTTCATCTCATTTCCATTTCCATATTTCTCTTCCATGAAAGATCAATGGGAATTTATTCAGTTAATTGAAATGAAAAAGGGTTTTTAAGAAATTGAGATGTTGTGTAGTTCTTAGAAAAGATTGTCTTCCATTTTGACTTGATCATATAGAGGACAAGAAAAAACAATAAAAGATGTTTCCTAAGTATTTGTATTTTGAAAATTTTGGACGGTTTAGCACATGAAAACAAATCTTGATTCTCTACAAAATGTTAAAAATTATACTTTGTTCTTCTCAACCTCGAGCTATACTTTCACTGTTATTATTTTTCAGACTTTGTGTCTTATTTTCAACTACCACGAGTTTTTATACATAAACATGTTTTTTCACGGGTACAAACTGCACTTGTCTGCTGAGAACGAGCTTAAAATTGATTTATATTATCATTATTATCTTTCACCAGTCGAATAGTTGAATCTATGAGGTTGTGACTAATCAAAAAGAGTGTTGATGTCGCTTAGATTTTGGTTTGACTGGTTTAACTCGTTCAGGTTATATTAAATCGGTTCATGTTATATTAAACCAGTTTGGTTTGGTTTGGAAAAAAACCCTACTATTTTGGGTATATTAGAGTTTACAAATTAATTAATAATTGCATCATAGTGAGAAATTTTTTATTTATCTTGTTCGTGGACGTAGGTATTTCTGTCGAACTACATAAATTTTGTGTTTTTTTTCTTCTTTTACTTTTTATTTTGTGTGATTGTGTGCGTGATTGGAATTATTTCCTTAACAAAGAGGATATCAGAATAATTCATATGGTTTATAGCAACATGGTTTTAGTTTCTTCGGGTCTTTCACATTCGTATGTTTCTAATTCTCCTTTTGTGGGTTAGGTACAAATGAGCTACAAGTTTGCTGTACTAAGGACCCAAAGTTTAAAACAAATATAACAGTAGATGAGGAGTTCCTGCCTCGCCAAAATGGTGATCTTACGATCATGTATGATGTGATCAGAACATTCGACTCAAACTACTGGTCGCAGGTTACAATTGCAAACCATAATTCCCTCGGACGTCTTGATAATTGGCAGTTGAGCTTTGACTGGATGATGGATGAATTTATTCATACTATGAAAGGGGCTTATCCGTCTATAGTTGATTCATCTGATTGCTTATTTGGCCCCCAAGGAACATTTTACAGGGATCTAGACTTTGCTAATGTTTTGAATTGTAAAAGAAGACCAACAATAATTGATCTGCCTCCAACAAAGTTCAATGACACGACGTTAGGGATGATTCCATCATGCTGTCGAAATGGAACGATCCTGCCTCCAACAATGGATCCGAGCAAGTCAACTTCAGCATTCCAGATGCAGGTTTTTAAGATGCCACCAAACCTCAACCGCTCTGATCTTTCCCCACCACAAAACTGGAAAATAAGCGGCAGACTGAATCCAGATTATAAATGTGGCCCTCCAGTGCGTGTAAGCCCTAGCCAGTTTCCTGACCCTAGTGGCTTACCATCAAATACAACTGCATTTGCTAGCTGGCAGGTGGTGTGCAATATTACGCAGCCGAAGGGAGCAAGTCCTAGATGCTGTGTGTCATTCTCTGCATATTTCAATGATTCTGTTGTCCCTTGCAGAACCTGCGCATGTGGATGCCCTACTACTAACACAGGTAGAACTTGTAGTACTACTGCTCCAGCTATCCTTCTTCCATCAGAGGCACTGCTTGTTCCATTTGAGAATCGGACTGCCATGGCTCGGGCCTGGGCTGACATTAAACATCTAGCAGTACCAAATCCAATGCCTTGTGGAGATAATTGTGGTGTTAGTATTAACTGGCATTTGTTTACTGACTTCAACCGTGGATGGAGTGCGAGGATCACAGTTTTCAATTGGGATGAAACCGCTTTCCCTGATTGGTTTGCTGCAGTTCAGCTGGATAAGGCAGTACCTGGGTTTGAGAAAGCTTTCTCATTCAATGGAAGCACTCTGTCCATTAATGGTGTGAATAACACTGTCTTCATGCAGGGTCTTCCTGGGTTAAACTTTCTAGTGGGAGAAACTGATGGAGCCAATCCAAAGAAGGATCCTCGGATGCCTGGTAAACAGCAATCGGTAATCTCATTCACGAAGAAATTTACACCGGGAATTAACGTGGCCGCTAGAGATGGATTTCCCACGAAAGTGTTCTTCAATGGAGAGGAATGCTCACTTCCTACCATACTTCCAACAAGCAGCAGTGACAGAAAGGGATCAGCTATTATCTTCTCAGTCCTCCTAGCAGTTCTGGCATTTATTCTGATGCAGCAGCAATAGCCCATCGGAGGAAGAGATTATCGGTAACTCTTGTTAATTTTTTCATTCTTTCGATTGGCTTGATTGTTGACACATACGAGGCTTCGTATGCTACTACCCTCGGAAAGAGGCCGGAAAGAAACTCAAGAGTATTATGGTACTTCCATTGATGAGGCTTCCTCTAGTTGGGTCTGCAATTTCTCAACAGTGATGTAATACTAAATGTAGGATCTGAGATGATACTGTGTATACACTGAACAGGATTGATCTTTTTTTTTTGTCATGTTTCTCATGTCTTCCATGTTTGTCTAATATCATCATATACAGTAATTTTTTATAGTGATTATTATATAATATTAAATTATTACTACCACAAAATTATTAAATTAGTAATAAAATCTTTAAAAAATATTATATAATATTTACATGATTGCCACAAAAAAGTTCATATATTCACTATTATCTTCTACTTGACATTTGCTGTGGAGGTTATCAAAGAGTCTACCAAAATATACCAAGAGAATATTCTCAGCCATACCCTGTAAGAATACTTAATTACTTGGGTATATATTTATTCACTTATTTACTTATAATAATTATAAAATTACATATTTGTTAAATAATTAAAAAATATATAAATATGATATTTTTTAAAAAAATATATATTAAAAATAAAATTCTAAAATTTCCTAATTTCATCCCAATTTTCAATATCAATCTTATATATAGAAGTTTATATATCTTTCAGAAGTACCAAACAGATCCTAAAATTCTTAAAAATGGTATCTTTAGCTCATAGTTTACAGTCTAGAATTGAATCCCACATGTAACTTTTTCTCCCCCCACCCAAGAAAAGTTTCAGAAAATATTCCAGGAGAATAAGAGAAAATAAGGGCTTTTTTCATAATCATAAGCTAGAACAAATACCAAAAAAGCACCCATTAGGAGACAGCAAAAGCTAATTTTCTTTTTTTTTTTTTTTCCAAAAAAGAAAACAACAGACATGAATTCTAATCTTTTTAAGTACAAGGAAATTAATCCTCAGACTTGTTTCTAGAGCAATCAAATGAAATATATACATTCAGAGTCAATTTCTTGAACAAAATCAAGAAAAGAAACTAAACCCAGAAGAGAAAAATTTCAGAGGAATGGCAAACAAACAAGCCTGATGTATTATTGGAATTAGAGAGGCTCCTCCTACATTTTCTCAGCAGATGTCCAAATAAAATCACCACAACTTACTTACTCTAAAACTTCCCCCAAACACAATGGACACCCTTAAAAACCAAGCATTCCCTAAAATTAGTTGCTTCTTGCTAGATTTTCTTTCTTTTGCCTACCAAAAACAGTCAAAATTTTGCATACATGCCTTCGCATGTCATGCACCGATGTCTTACATGCTTCGTAAAACATCTTCCACCACGAATCGGGATGATCCTTCTATGTTTAAATGGAATCGGCCCCATATTGTATTCACAGAGGTAGATGTGGCTGTGCGGAGTTCAAGCAATCCTGTCTCTAGAAGCAAACACAAAATTAACTCTCCATCCAACAGAGAGAAAATTTTCGGTGACTATGTACACCAGAAAGCTGCTAAATCATGACACGAAGAGAACCCGGATTATCAAAGCATGTTCTACACAGGAATATTGTCCATGGAATAACCATCAAAATCAAACTCATTTTCGGCTGGTCCAATTCCTTCTTGCTGCAGGAAAACACAAGTAAATCTTGTATCAATAATCTACATTTATGAGAAATATTTTGGTTAAAAAGTGAATGGATTATCCAAAAACAAACACTAGAAAGATCTGGAGAGAGAAACTAACCTGTTTGAGAAGTGCACTCATGAGATCTTCTTGACCAAATTGGTCAGGAAAGAGCGATGATGGAATTCTTGCTTCAGAAACCCTTTCTGACTTCACTCTTATTGAATTGTCAGTGAAGAGGGAGTTGAGATTCTGATTAACAACATTCTGTACATTCCCATGTTCAGGTCCTTCTCCTGTTGAGAACATTGCCTTACCTACAGCAGTTGCATTCCCATTCTGCCCATTCCTTTGGTTGGAGGAAAACCCTTGGGAAACTAGAACTGATGGTGTGACGTCAAGGCTGCTTTGAAGGGGGTTCGAATGCTGAGAGGCATCGAAGGTCAAGCCTACATTTTGTAGTTCCCAATCTTGGGGTTTATGTTGATGCAAGTCATTGAATATATCATAACTTGGCATGAATCCTCCTGATCCTTTTATATCCGAGTTTACATCTTCCTGGAATGCCCCTTTTGATGCCAGGCTGGACAACCCAGGAGCATTTCCGAGAGGGAAACTATTGCCAGGCAATTCTGCATTGTGATTCAAGGGGAAATTCAACATTGAAGAAGCTTGAGATACTGGATTGTAAGCTCCCCCTCTGCCATTATCAGGAATCCCAGTTCTTGCAGAAACACTGGCACCAATTCCATTTGATGTTAAAATAGGCTGCGTGATAGATGACGGTAACCTAGTAGCATGACTTCCTGAGTTCTCATAGAGTATCTGTCCCCGAGACTGTGATTGAGCCATCTGCATCAACAAGGCATTATTTTGGCTACTCTGTCCCCCATGGGTGTTGACTTGCATGTTCATGTTGCCGATGGATTGTGCAGAATGGTGCAAACTGGCAAGCTGTTTTGGCTCCATTGCGGTTGGAATCCCATGAAGTAAATTCATTTGCTTACTATTAGTCATATGTTGCTGTTGTGCCTCCGCAAATCTCAGCTTTGGATTTTCGAAGCTAAATAAGTTCCTTTGATCAACAATGGGCATGGATATGCCAGATTTTGCACTTGACCTACCAAGCCCGGCTGCTTGGAGCGTTGCAAGGCTTTGTGCTGGGAGTTGACCAGTAACAGCCAGAGTTTGAAGGTCAATTCCATTGAGCGAAGATAATGGACCAAAATTTGCTTCCTGCGGGTTTATAAAGGAATTATTTAAATTACTCTGGTGCTGTGACACTCCACTTAGCCTTCTCAGGTACAAGCGATACTTCTGCACAGCCCAGTGACTAAGGTAAGCACCAAATAGAATTAACAGGTAATAAATAATGAATTGTATATGATCCATACTTGGAGGTGGCTTGCAACATTTTCTCTAGTGAGTCCTGCAACATTCATCAGCTCCAAAATTTTCTTCGGAACAGCCTCTGCATCAATGTATGAAATGTAAGAACATACAGAAGGGCAATAATGCAGCTGTAAATGAAACATGGTAACTTAGAGAACTCTGAAATTATAAACGTAACGAAATAGCTAGCGACTAAAAATCCAGAGAAAATTTGATTCAGCACCAACTGAGAC